GTGGCTCTTAAAAGAGCCTTTGGGTCGAGAGGGTCCGGCGCCGAGTGCAGGAGCAGCTTACTTAGAGCTGGTGTACTTGGTGACGGCCTTGGTGCCCTCGGAGACGGCGTGCTTGGCCAGCTCGCCGGGCAGCAGGAGCCGCACGGCCGTCTGGATCTCCCGCGGGGTGATGGTGGAGCGCTTGTTGTAGTGCGCCAGGCGCGACGCCTCGCCGGCGATGCGCTCGAAGATGTCGTTGACGAAGGAGTTCATGATGCCCATGGCCTTGGACGAGATGCCCGTGTCGGGGTGCACCTGCTTCAGCACCTTGTACACGTAGATCGAGTAGCTCTCCTTGCGGCTCTTCTTGCGCTTCTTGTCGCCCTTCTTCTGCGTCTTGGTCACCGCCTTCTTGGAACCCTTCTTGGGCGCGGGCGCGGACTTGGCCGGCTCAGGCATGATAACAACGTCACTTCTAAGTCTGATGCGAGACAGACAGGAACACAGCGCCGACAGCGCCGCGCGCGCCCCCTTTTATAGGGACCGCATGCAAATTAACCGGCTCCGAACTCTGCCTTCCTATTGGCAGCGAGGGATCGAGACTGCCGTTGTTCCCAATGGTTCGCCGCCATTGGTTGGAATTCGATCCGCCTTCCCATTGGCTGTTCCGGCAACGCCGACTTCCCAGCCTATCAGAGGAGACACCGCTTGTCTGCCCGAACCGCATATATACGGGCGGAGGCGGCCGGGGAGCCTCATCGTTCCTGTGAGCTTACTGCCGAGACTCAGCCCTTGCGATGTCGGGCCGCGGGAAGCAGGGCGGCAAGGCGCGGGCCAAGGCCAAGTCGCGCTCGTCGCGGGCCGGGCTGCAGTTCCCCGTGGGCCGCGTGCACCGGCTGCTGCGCAAGGGCAACTACGCGGAGCGGGTGGGCGCCGGCGCGCCCGTGTACCTGGCGGCCGTGCTGGAGTACCTGACGGCCGAGATCCTGGAGCTGGCGGGCAACGCGGCGCGCGACAACAAGAAGACGCGCATCATCCCCCGCCACCTGCAGCTCGCCATCCGCAACGACGAGGAGCTCAACAAGCTGCTGGGCAAGGTGACCATCGCGCAGGGCGGCGTGCTGCCCAACATCCAGGCCGTGCTGCTGCCCAAGAAGACCGAGAGCCACAAGGCCAAGAGCAAGTAAACGGACCGCGGAGAAGCGCCCAGAGCAGAAAAGCGAAACCCAAAGGCTCTTTTCAGAGCCACCCACAAAATCATAAGAGAGTTTAGTTATCCACAGTATATTTATGCAGTTGCATATGAATTAGTCAACCCATGCTGCTTTTTCATACGTTTATTATCAGAATTTTTGGCTTGGGAACATAGCAGTGTTTTCAACCTTCTCGTTAAGAAAAAGAAAAAAGTGCTAGAATGTCCTGCCAAAGCCAGTTCTTCCTGGTATGCGATATGACACCTTTAGTCTTTAAACCGAAGAACACTGGAACAATGGCTTTCTGTGAGAGCTTCCTGCTTCCCCCCGCCCCCCCCTCCGCTTCCGCCTTTCTCTTCCGTATGAGAGGCTGAAACAGCCTGGAGATGCAAGGCGTGATCTCCTTCAAGGAGGGGGGGTGCGGGGAGAAGGGCCAGCGGGCTGTGCTCTCCGTTGGCCAATCCTTGGTCAGGGCGGGCTTTTCCAATACCTCATTTTTCTCAAGAGGAACAAAAGGATCAGAGAGCTCAGGGATGTTTTCTGGTCAGTAAAGGTACCGCTCTCCCTCCCTTCCCCCACACGAATAGACAAAGCATTTAAAGGCAACACCTTAGAAATACAATGGATTATACATGGCTCAGTAGTAGCGTGCCTGACAATTGCATTATTTTTGTTACAAAATATATTAAAAAAAGTTTCATCCGTTTTCTATCAAAATCACTATTATAAAACTTTTCTTCCTGGTAAAGTCAAACCAATTACTCCACAAAAAGATGCAAAAATCTGCACTTCCCTAAAGCCACCACGCTATACCGTGCACATCAGTTTTCATTTCAGTACTCGCAGGGAAAAGAAAAAGATACGTTTAACCTCTGACGACTTACGAATTATTGGATCCTTGCTGCAGGTTACTGATGACTTTGGTGCCTCAGCTCCTTTAGGGATAGTGTGGGTGGCTCTTAAAAGAGCCGTTGGATAACAAAATATGTAGAGCAGGACTCTTCCAATATCATTTACTTCTTCTTGGGCGCCGCCTTCTTCGCCTTGGTCGCTTTGGGCTTGGTCGCCTTGGGCTTGGCAGGCTTGGGCTTCACCGCCTTCGCCTTGGCCGGGCTCTTCGCTGCCTTCTTGGGCTTCGCAGCCTTGGCCGCCTTCTTGGGGCTCTTGGCCGCTTTCTTGGCCGCGGCGGCCGCCGGCTTCTTCGCCTTCTTGGGGCTCTTCTTCACCGCCGCCGCCTTCTTGGGCTTCTTGGCGGCGCTCGCGGGCTTCTTGGCCGCCGGCTTCTTGGGCTTGGCTGCCGGCTTCTTCTTCTCCGCCGCTCGGCTTGTGTTTCTTCGGGGATAAAAAAACCGTGTTTTTGGTGCAAAACCTGCGACCAGGACACCCCGTTTCTCACAGAGCTGCAGGCGAGGGAAGGTATTTTCATCCTGCAGCATTTCTGTTAGCTGGGAGTTTAAATGAGTTATAGGCAAGTCTGTAGTCCGTGAGTTTTGGGATTGCAGAGACCTGGGACGGTCAGATTTTTTATTTTTCTTTTTAAATTTTAACAATGCTGCTGAGATCAGCGGCACAGTGACAACCGTTTCACGTTCCTGAGAGGGTTTTTGGTCGAGACAGTGTAGAATGGAATTGATATAAAGACGTTTTGTTAAGGTAATTTGGCTTTGAAAAGCAGTAAGTAACACAAGTAGCCACTGAGCTCTGCATCTGTGTTGTAAATCGTTTCCCATACCACGACTTCATTTCTTATAAAAAATGAAACGTTTCGACGTATTATCCTGTTTAGCCTTACATGGAGCTAGTAAAAATTAATTGGAAAAAAATTCTCCAGGAATGTTTATGTGAAAAATAACACTCTTAAATTAGCAGATACCTTCAATGTCTTTAAAGAATACTCAGAAGTCTTTCCTCTGGTGTCCTACTTCTTTTTTTGTTTCGTATTTGACAAACTGTATCACAATATTTATCTAAGATATGTCTTTCATATAAGCACTATAGGCAAGCACGTTCATTTTTATGTTCATATTTAAAATAAAGAGGTTAGTTTGTGCTCTAGTTTTATTCTCTACTTTAAGATATGTTGCCAGTCAAAAGTTGCAGCTGAGCGAAAAATTTCAATACATTATGTGAATACTTTCCTTGTGATAAAAGCCAGGTTAGGGTGTCGGTGATTCTGTAAATGAAACAATACTAACAAAGTGCCTTAGTCAAGCAGTTTTCTCTTCAGTACTGCTGAGACATGGCCACAGTTGAAAAAATACTATAACAGTAGCTTAATATTGCTCATAAGTAAACTAAAGGAAACTAAATTTAGCACATGGGTGCATTATGCTAAACTAAATGTCAACATAGCATAGTATTTGCTAAGCTTTGTAAAGGCAATCAAGAAGTTTCCCTTTTTGCATATACTACATCTGCTTTTCTGCCCTACAGCACTCCTATAGTCTACAAGAGGGTATTTAGAGCTCTAAAGTCATAACTAATAACATGAGCAGCTGTTTCTTAATAATATCTAGTTGATATTGAGAGGTGATGTGTGCTTCTATTTGCTTGCTGCTTATATTTGGTTCATTTTGGTATATAAGGTAGTAGGGTTCTCTATTCCAAGAAAATGTAAAACACAGCATTAAATATGTAAAGCAGCAAATCTTCCATCTACCAGCAAATATTTTTGTCTTCTCTATTTATAAACATTGAAACAAGGAGCAAGAGGCATAGTGCCAATCTGGAACTGTCTGTAAATTTGCAGCAATAGGTGAGAGATATTGAAACAGGATTAAAAACGCAGCTGGGGAGGGGTTACAGGATGGACTCTTGTGAAAATGCAGTGTAAATCCATATTCACCTCGTTTCTTGAGTGCTGCTACAGAGGAGGCTAGAAACATGACCAAGGTCTGTGCAGGGATTGTGACAGGATTCAGCTGTCGCCTTTTATGGTGCATCTCCCTCTCCTTTATGGGAGAGGGAGATGCCTGTAACTGCAGCAAAAGTTCTCCTACCTTCAGCACTGATCCTGCTCTTCCTGCTCCCAGCGGGCTTAGTTTCTGTCTGTATGCTGTTGGAGCAAATGCATAAACAAACAAATTAGGCCACAGAAGTTTTTGGAAAACTCTTCTCATAGTCTGTTCTGACTGCTGAGATAGAGCTTTGTTCATGCCCGTTGTCATGTTTCCCCCCTCTTGTTAGGAAGTCTGGGCCTTGCATACAGGTATAAAGTGTGTGTATATATGTACACACAGACACACACATGTATATGTTTGTATATATGTAAGTGTTCCTAACAAGTTAGTTCTTCCTAAGAAGAAGTTAGGAGAGGTCAGGATTGCCCCGGTAGTTCTGTGGGATGTTCCTGTGTGAGAAAGTGCTTCATGAGAGCAAAGAGGTGCTAAAATCCCTTCTTTGAGATGTGCCAGTTCTTTGTCTCAGGTACGTTCTCACTTTCTTTGACGTTAGGTTAGTCGGCTCATCCCTGAGGCATGAGCTCAGTTTCCTCTTTTTCAGCTCTCCATCCAGTTTAGGAGAATGTGTGTAGAAAAGCGTCACGCGAACCTTTTTGGCTACTATGTTTCTGTGTGGTAGTGATGTGGGTTTTTTTATGCTTGTGTTTACCAGGTGAAGTTTGCCAAGCATCTCCCAAAGGAAAATGGATTTATACTGACTGGGCTTTTTACAACTGAACTTTCTGGTGCTGATTTCAGCTATTTCTCACCTCCTCTTTCCATGGCACTTAGCTGTTTCTCCCCGACAACGTGTGCTATGGAGGAGACTTTTGGCAGGAGATAAATGCCACAGAGGTGACACTTAGGTGTCTGCAGAATCTAAAGAGGGTTCAATTTAGATTTCCTTCCTCCAGGGAAGGAAGAAAAAAAAGAGAGGGAGAGATTTCCTGGAAGAATGATATGGGTTTCGAAGGGCACAGATCATATGGAAGAGAGTGTAAAGCTGTTAGGTAAAATATTTATTTATTTGTATCCTCCATAGTCCTGAGGAAAGGAGGTACTTTCATACTTAGAAAGGGAATTTCACTCTCGCCTAATGCCAATATATCTGCGCCGTTGTTCTTACTACTTCCATGCTGCAGGGCCCTCATGAAGTGGTTCTAGGACAGTTTAGAATAGCACAGAAAATCCATTGCATTAGTGATACTTAACCTGTATTTCCTAATTAGGCCAAGGGTGGTTTTCTTTGCAAATCCATGCCACATAAGAGTGTGCTACTGGGAGGGCGAGGGTCGCGGGGTGCTTCTGCATAAACCAGTCAGTCCCTCGTGTGGGCCGGGAGGAGAGTTTCGACGGCTGAAAGTCAGGCCGCAGCTTGTCCCGAGACCCGCTGATGCAAACTTTCCTGCGACTCCCGGAGCAACGGGGAGCTGAGGAGCCGGCGCCGGCCCCTCGCTGTGCCCTCTGCATGGGGCTCTCCCTCCTTCCCAGTCCGAAATGCCCCCTACTTCGGTAGGTATATAGAGGACCTGTAGCGGTGGTGGGAAGGCGGTGGAGTGTGCAAGGCTAAGGCTCGAGGAAAGACAGCAGTTTCCCGAAAAGCGTTGCATGCAAATCCTGCGCACATCATGCCGTGGAGAGTCCTGGAGCAGGTAAAGGTAGATGGGAATTATACACGTATTTGAAGAGTTGGAGCATCTGTTTCGTGGGGGTAGCTGGTTACCTGGCTATTTGACTTAAAAACAAGAAACAAGGAAAGGAATGAATTAAACATCCTACTCCTTATGGGTTGTATAACGGAGACAATAACAAAGATCAGAGCTCTCAGGTCACTAATTGATGGGTCATTGGAGGAAGCAGTCAAGCTCAACCTCGGGGAGGTTGAACCACAACTTCGTCGCTGATGGGAAGGCGGAAGAAGACTAGCAGGGTCTCTCAAGGAAAAGATCAAACTTATTTTAGAGCATGTTTGAGCGGGACTGTGTGAAACTTCTTAGGTCAAGTTTGGGAGAGAGTGCGAGACTGTGTGAAACTTTGGACAGGAGTTTAGGAGAAGGGCGAAGATGGAGAAAGGAAAGGGGGACGTGAAGGAGCGTGGGAAGGGACACCGGTCACAGGCCGCGTGGGTCCGGGCAGCAGCAACGGGAGGGCGCAGGACCTGGGAGAGCCGGTGTCTAGGGCAGCTGCTGGAGAGACGTAGGTGCGTGGGAGACCCACAGCGAGCTCCGTCCTGACCAGCTGAAACAGAGGCGGAAAACGGGGCCTCCTGTGCCGGTCCTGCCTGGGTGAATGCGGCGGGAGCTTCCGCGGTGCTGCGCGCCGACCCGTGCCGGGTGCGCGTTGTCTGTGGCCCGCAGCCTGCCGAGG